TGACGGGTCAACACCGACAGCTTCGTCACTATCGTCGCGTGAGCTTGCGCGTGTAGAGGGAGCGAAAAGCAGCTCTCACCTCGGACGAGGGGGGGAAGGGGACATGTGGGTTTGGTCGTTTTTTTTCGGTGTGCTCTCACTGGTCAGGCTTCCGCTCGACCTTTTTTGATGCCCAGAGTAAATCAACCAGAAGGGCCATTTCTTAAGGGATGACGATCTCTTCACACGCCATGAGATTCTCTCCCTCCCCCGAGTCAACCATCTGGAAGCCTGGAAGCATCACTTGCCCATCTGTGCCGTCTCAGACCGATCCAGGCACCGAATCACTACACGATCAACTACAACCAGGCCTACCTTTCTCCGGGTAGACACCTGGAAATGCTCTGCGGGCTTCGTGGGGCGTCAGAAGCAGCCGCTGGGCTGGGCCGCCGGGCTGGGCACCAGTGCCACAAAGGTCGAGAAAAGAATCGCACAGTGCACTGGTGCCGTTCTTTCTTCTCTGCGCCCAGTGAAAGTCAGATGTGGTTGGAGTTTCCAGGCGCCAGGCATCATGTTCTTCAGCATTAATTCTTTCACGTGTTCTTGGGGGAGATAATCTTGTGAGTTTGTTTTTCACGCTTGCTCTTTGGGTTCCATGACGTCCACAAATGCTTCCTGTTATATGCCCCTTGTTGTATAACGTTACAAAAGAGCGATTGTTCTTTGCGTAGATTTTGGGCGATCTCCTTTCTGCCCAGATGTTTGACTTGCAACAGCAAAGAGCATTCGACTGGTCAAACAGCCTGGTCTGGCTGATGTACATGACCAGGAAAACACCAAAGCGGCTCAAGCGTCCGGGTTTGGCCACCGCCTACCCCAGTGGCCTCGGAGCCTCAACACGCCCCCGCCGAGCATCGCAGATCCCCACCGGAACCGGTGGTTGGATGAACACACCAGGTGGATGACCGACAATCGGCCTACTCGGTTCCCAAAGAGAAGTCCTCCAACTTCCTGGACAAGGCGCGATGGTCGAGAGTTGATGGGAAGAAGCTTGAAAAAGCACGCACGGGGAAGCATGGTCTCCGGTTCCGGTTCCGGACGAGGAGTCAAGACTTGGTGCAATCTTAACTGACTTGTGAGATGATCCACTCCCGGCTCTCCGATGATCCACCCGTTTTTTCGTCTTTCAGGTGGTCATGGAGAAGTGGGTGGATGTTAGAAGCAAGAAGGCCTGGGTGCTTTGAGCACGAGAAAACGCCCCGGCGCCGCAGAGCGGTGGTATGGCCGGTGTGAGTTTTTGGTACCGCGGAACTTCCAAGTTTTGTGCACAGACCATCGGCGGAACGTTTTTTTGAACGAATCCAGACATGTTTGCTTTCGGAGTTCCGCCTTTCGGCACATACCCCCATGTTTTAAAGGCGGCCTTTGTGGATCGCATCTACTGGGGACTCTTCCGAGCAACAAGTCGCAAGACGTCAAAAGCACACCAAAAAACACACACACACACACCCAGAATCCCCCAATATATTAGAGGAACACTGTTCGCTGCTAGGGGCTCCTGGCATCGCTACTAGGAGCAAGGACGCTACGAACGGGGCTCCTGGCCGTACTACTAGGAGCAAGTAGCTACTAGGAACAATCCTTTCTGAAGAGGTTTTACAGCACAAATGTCTTTTTGTTCATCGAGCCTCTGCATACGGCATAACCAGCTGGATCTGGACACCGTCCCTGAGCCCCCCCGCTCTTTGGGTCGGTCAAGGGCGAAGATTCCAAACAAGCAAGGGCCATGTGTCAAACTGAACACTTTTGTTCTTTGTTCTCTTTCTTCCGCGCACCGCCCAACATGCGTTGGGCGTTGGTGTCTTTTTTTTCCCCCACGCACATACACCAACGTGGCAGGAGATGCCGGGTCCAGGAACATACAAGACCTTCGATGGTGAGGCCATTGACAGGAGCGCAACCGCTGGGATGTGGGACTCAACTGATGAGGAAGACAGCGTTCCGAGCGGTTGGTCGATGCGTTTATAACCGACCATGGACATCCATGGATGATGCTCAAACATTCATAAGTTGTTGGGTGTCCAAAACGGTGAACATTCGGAAACGAGCAATTGCATTCGGCTGCACACTTCCCGTTCGGAGGAGCTGATGACATGGGACGCTTGTCCATGGGGTGTGACTGATGACCACGACCTGCAGTCAAGAGAAGGGTCCTAGAGTCACCAGTCATCCAGTGGCGGCTTGGTACCAAGTTGGAACCCTACAGGACCCCTTTACATGCATTCAGGCTGCATCCCCTTAGAAGTTGCTGATGGAGCCAGCTTTTTCCAGCAGTTGCGTGTGACCATGCAAGAACATCGGTATTTTCGTGGGAGATGATCACCTGACATGGCGCTCCAGAATTCCGCTGCTTGAACCAAGAACCTACAAAGTCTAGGAATACGCAAGCAGTCCTTTGCATCCAGCAGCAAAAGGACACTTCAAACAACCAACAAGCTCCGTGGAAAGCGAGAAGTTTCAGCTGCTGGAGTCGGAAAAGCGCTTTCCACGACCCCAAGCGGACGAAACGGTGTCGGTCTCCGCGAGCGGCTTTGAAATCATGTTAACCCCGAAACCAGTGGTTTCTTCTTTGTTCAGATGCTTTCTCTTGTCTCACGAATGGATTGCGGACTTGACAGGCAGCAAAAAGCCATCAAGTGCTTACCGCCTGCGCTTCATGTGCTTACGCCAGCACCTGCCCACTGCTTGCGCCCTACTTCGGCCTCGCGCCCTTTCCTGCGCGACATCCGTCCGAATCCGAAGGATGCCATGGTGGTTGTCGTGGATGCCATGGCCAGTTCGGAGTTCCCATGAGCTTTCCAATGACCAAACAGGTGGTGAACTCCACGTAACCACCATGGTGAACTCCACGTAGAGTGTATGTCTCCAAGGATCGGCTGCACCGCCGGGGAAAGCATCCAGCGACATGGCCAGCTGCAACGCCACGGGTGGTAGTGTCATCCTGCCTGCGCAAATCGCTTGGTCGTGACTGGCTGGCACAGGCGGTCGACAACACATGCTCGGGCAACCGCACAGAGTGATCGTCGTCTGTCAACACATAGTTCATGAACAGCAAATATCTTTCGCCACGCGTCCAGAAATTCGGGTGAAGCAATTAAGCCTTGTTAGCACAAATGTCTTCGAAGGGGTGTTTTAGAGGGGGGTCAGCATACTATAGGAACAGACACTACACAAAATGATATAGACACAAATGCGCAAGCAATAGAACATATACACATACCTCATGACTCCTACCATGTCATTTTCTGACGACTCGTGGCCGATGGCCGCCGATGGCCTTGCGTTTCAGGACGACTCGTGGAACCTACCAGCTACAGTTGAGAACTCTAAGCCGATCTGCCAGGGTCTCATGTGATTGGGATGGGACGCCTTCATCACCGCGCGCGGGGCAGTGATGCGATTGGATTTGTGAGCGGTTTGATATTTCTGCGAAGGGATGTGGTGAGATGTATTTCGCCAAGTTCATGATCACTTTAACCTTTGCGGATATCATACCATCCCAATCTTTCAGATTTGGTTGCCAGGGAGGTTCCAGCTCTATGTCAGCTCGCTTGCCCCTTCTTGCTGTGTGCATGCCCTAAATGCTCGCATGCTTGCTTGCATGCTCCGCCGAAAAGGAGGGATCGGATCAGTTTGTGATCGGTGCAAGCGAACATCGGGGCTTTTTCGTATTTCGAGACCGGGAAAGGTCCGTTCCTGTTTGGGTGGGGGGGTGATGGGAACAGATGTTCGTTTTCTTTCTTATTGTTGTTTTGACTGTTTTAGAAAGAGACATTTTTGGTGCTGAAACCCACGTGCAAACCAAGTCTGAAAGGAAGTAGGCTTACATAACAATCTCCAACTCCCATGAAACCATGGTGGCTTGGGATTCAGCCCAATAAATCCAAGAGTTTCGATCAGTTTCTTGCACCGCGTCCAGGCCACCTCCGGCTACTTCTGAGCTTACACTACGACGGCCCGTTTGACCCACAAAGACACCGGGAGGTTCCGGGAGGAATGGGACACCGAAAGACGACACTGAAAGAGAACACTCTTCGATGCAGCCCTTGCAATGGTCCTTGTTTGTCAATAACATGCAGTTGCGCAACAGGTACACAACAGTTGCACGATTCAATTATAAATCAGATCAAGAAGACCGGCATGTTTTGGCAACTTCCTGCTGGCAGCAAACACAGGATGAATACCTCCCAAGAAACCACAGAACGTTTCATTCTGTGGAGCTACGGGCCGGGATTTTGGGATGGTTGAAGAAGGCCACCCACCCGGACCGAGAGGATGCGTCGTGGCAACGGTTTCCGAGATGTGAATGTTCGGGCCGAGGCTCTCATGAAGGAAAAGCAAAACAACCCCATGCAACCCCATCTATGTCTTTTTTTGGGGGAACATGTCTCCAACATCACTTCCTTCACATCAACATTGTGGTGCGTTGCTCGACCAAGTGAAGCACAGGACTCCCTGTTTGGGGATGCCCTTTGTACCCTGCACTCACCGCTTTTTTGGAGTGCGGTTCAGGCCACGCGGCCACACCCCCTCGTTCGACCGTCCAAGACGACCCAGCGACCCAGCGAAGACAAAAAAGAAGGTGCGCCCCCTTCTTGGGGTCGGTCCATCCAAGGGCACCCTTCCAAAAGCTGAGAAGCAAAGCGGTGGGCCTTTCAGGTAGGCTTTTCAGGCCCAGTGCGACCGGAGAAATCCTCCGGTCGCACCGGCTGTTTCGGAGGAATCCACGGACCGAAGAAGGCGACGAGTCCCGACGCCTTCGCTGAAAAACACGGAGGTCTCCTAGCCCTGGAAGGTTCGGTGCAGATTACAAGCTAACCAGGGGTACAACAAGTAGGCTTGGCGATGATTGGTTGACTACACACATACAGGAAGTAGAGGGATGATCTTGCGAAAAGACACAACTCTTGACGAAGACCACAGTTGCACAGTGCACCCAAGTGGCCTTTGCAACAGTGGAGGTGAGACAGCGTGAATCGCGTCTGATCAACACCAGTTCGGGGTCTCAGTCCGAATCTGGGAGAATCACTGGCTGAGATGCAACTGCTAGGACTGCGTGCACAATTTAACGCGACGTGACTATTTGTTCACCTCACGAATCTTCGTCTTCTGTGATCCGACATGAACAACTTTGCCAATAATACCAGCAGAGATTGCTGACCGTCGACTGAAATGATACAATGACGTTGAGAAGCGGACAATTCCTGTCAGATGGATTGCGGACGCATCTCCGTGCATACTTCAGTGGGAGATGCACTGAATTGAACAAACATACTCACTCAGAGTAAAGCCCAGTAAAGCTCGGAAAGATCAGCTTTGCAGGGGGGTGTTTGTGTCGATCACCGCATAGTCTCTGCGGGTGTTTCTGTTGGTTCAAGTGACTGTAATACATTCTTTGTCAACTCCATCCAAACCATCGGCTTGGACGCCACACGACCAAGTAAAGGTCCGGGCCTTGGGGCAGTCCGCTTTCGCCCCGGTTCTGCGGGTTTTTGGGGCTTGGACCCTCTGAGTCCTCGCCACTCAAGTGAAACTTCCACTCCAGAGAGATCGTTTGGTAGTTGGTGCATGAAGATCTCAACAGTTCGATGGGTTCTTCACCGATTTAGCTTTCTGGTGGACAGCTTGGAGATGCTTGGGGCTTGGGGTGTTCACTGGGAGCAGCCGCAGAAAAACACCGTTTTCTCCTACTTCTTGATTTGGATGCTCCCAGAGGTATGAAAAGAATTCGCCTCTGATTGTTGTGAGGTGAGGACTGAGACAAGTTGCACTTGATGCAGGGATAACGGTTGCGTGGTTTTCTTGGTAGACGACGAACTCTACAAGGATTGGAACTTCGTTGCGAGTCACTCCCAATCTTCACACCTTTTTCTAGTAGTACGGTCAGGAGCCCCTACTAGCGTCCTTGCTCCTAGTAGCGATAGCAGGAGCCCCTAGTAGCTTCTTGTTCCTAGTAGCATCTTGGCTCAAATGTGCTTAAATCATTTCAACTCGCAATTTTGTGGTAGACATTGACATCTGGGAGGTTCTGACCAGTGTTTCGTCTCACACTGACAAGCTCACACATGCTCACATCGTATTGGACGCTGCAGGTTTGCTCTCCTTGGGCCTGGTGATCAAGCGCTTGTCGGCGCAGGAGAGCCTTTATATAGAGGGACTGAAGTTGGACTTCCGTGGTGAAAACTCGACACAGATTCTAGAATCTAGATGGTGCATTTGAATAGGGACACCTCCCAATAGGCTGGTCTAGTTTCCTTCTTCCAGGTCTTTCGGGGGTCTCCCTATTCGTCGTACGTAGAAGTTGCACTTCTGTGAAGAGCACATGAAACGCACGAGGCCAGGAACTCTGTCGAGTCGAACACATGCGCGAGAGATCGGTGTACGTACGACATGAATGCCCAATCCCAATCGGGATCAAGAAGCTACTAGTAGCTAGGCGCACCGATGATTCCAGGTGCACACGGACCTTGGTGCTGGGGGACTCGCTCGAGCTCGCTCGGAAGAAGCGTCGAGCTCGGGAAAGCTCGTGATGATTCCTTCTTTTGGACATTGGAAGAGGCACTCTGGGAAGCCCTGGAGTCTTTCTCCTCCAGATCATTCTGTATTGACCACCCTAAGCCGATCTTCGAGCATGCCGGTGTGGAGTGCCCCTGTCCGCAGGACGGCCTCTCTCCAGGCCGAGGCGACAGCGGCCTTGCAGGGGTCGCATTGTGGTGGAGGGTCTTCTAGAATTTGAAGGTGGTTCAAAGGTCTGCTTTTAAAGGCCAGGCAAGGTGATTTGGCCTCTGAGTTCCGTGGATCAGGATGGGATGTCCTGCAAAAGAACGAAACGCCGTAACCCAACCCATCTAAGACATGGAGTCACTTATGCAAGCCGGTGGGGTTTGTTGCGTCATAGGTAGTGGTAAGACTGACCATGTCCGACCCGGTGGTCGACGTCATAGACCTTCAGTTGACCAAGGTATGATGTCCATGGGGATCGGATGACCGGCTTTCGACGGGAAAGCCTCACCTCGACTGGACTTGGGGACCACTTCGTCGTCACGGCCGTCTCTCGCACCGTCCCCAACGGTCCCAGCGGGCGAGACCGATGTAGGTCACATCGGCTGCAGGCGGGTGGGACATCTGGGACGCGGGGGCACGCAGTGATGGCAGGCAGAGGCTTTAGGAAGTGGTCCTTGGAAGCTTCGCGGACGGGTGATGACCACGCGTGGTAACTGACCTGAAAACTGCCTGGGACACAGAAGGGATACCGAATTGACCTGACCAACAAGGGCGTCTATATGCTTCCAGGTGGTCGTTGGAGTCGTTACAGTGTTCTCTCCATCTACGCTTGTTGGTTTGAAGGGTGCAGACACTCGACCCCAGCATTCCACCGTACGGACCGAGGGCTGCAGCCGCACAGAGTTCTTGGGACTTGGAAGACTGTACTCCAAGCAAGGCCGAACTCACCCAGCCTGTTTTGGACATGGTGCTGGTGCGTTTGCACTCACAGGCTGTTGTTTGTCTCGTCGAACTGGTGCCCCCGGTAGGCCAGGTTGACATTTCTTGACTGCATGAAGGCGCAGAAGTAGAAGATTGATTACGCAGGAATACGCCAGCTTGATTGTTTTTGGCGATTGGCTTCTTCCCTGCAGCAGGAGCTACCCTGAAAGAGCATGTTCGATTATTTTCTTGTTCTTTTACAGGCCCCTTAAATAAACTGGAATTCTGATGTGCAAGAGATGCATCCGGCCAGGGATAACAAGCTCACGTACCTCCTATCGGACTCTTTGCTTGGCAACTGCAGGAGATTTTGCCTTTCTCCGAACATAATGATGATCTATAGATGTCTATAGTCATCAAGCACAGAATAGTCTGGAACATGTCAAGAACCAGGTGGGCAATTGTCAAATTACTGATTACTGTTCTTCAATGTTTGGCAGTTTTCAATTAGGGTCTCCAGGGTCGGACTGGACTCCGAAGTCGCGGACGTGATTCAGTGCGAATCGAGCGAGAAGTGGGTCAGTTGGGAAGTGGCTAAGAGAATGTTTTTTCAACATCGATGGACGTTCGGTCCTGCACATCCACATCCTCAAATCAAGAGATGGTTGGGTCGTGTTTTGCAGGGTCCGGTGTGTCTAAAACAGGACGAACTGTCCAGCATCACTCTGAGAGGTATCGTGAAGAGCTCATACTCCAATGGAAGGCCACAAAGCCAACCCCAACAGCTGTAAACAGCGGTTTTCCGCAGCTGAACCGAACACAGAGGGAACCATACATCAACATCGAGTCCAAGTGGTATCACTTTGATGGGGCCGGGTGTTTTTCAAGACCCAGAGACGAATCCTGGGAGTGGTTTCGGGAAACCATCTTACAGGGACCGAAGGGTTTTCTGTAGATTCACCCTAAAACCTCCTAAAACAACAGACCCCTTCCGAGACCCCCCCGGACGACGAAAGGGGTCCCTTGTCTTCGCCGGCTCCGCGCGCGGTCCCTGCGTCCAGGACCGTGATGTGCGCCTGCGTCTCGCCGGCGTCCTCGGCGGTGGCCGGGACGCCAGGGGTGGAGAGTGGCCACTCGAGCTGTGAAAACAGATACACTCCTGAAAGGATTACCTGGAGAAAACAGGCAGAGACATGGACAAGTGGCTTTCAGTGGTACCTCTAAATAAAGAGGTGCTGGTACTCCCTGAAATCGTCATGCAAGTGGAACAGAGGCCCTGGAAGACCATTGGCTTTCGACTTCCATTGGCTCTTCACCATGAGTACACTCTTTCTTTCACCACCTTCGCTGGTGGATGGCGCGGAGGAGGACCATTCGATCCAAACACGTGGTTTTCACTCCCTCCACTTCCATAGTGTTCCGAGTGTCAAAAGAGTCAGCCCGACGTTCTCCACTTCGTAGCCGTTCGCTGGTTTCAGAGTGGAATGGACTCTGACATACTCTGACTGTGGCGAGCTGTCTTCGAGTATGTCTTGGTGGTCTTTTTGACATGTTGTTGGGTTGTACCAAAAAGGCTCCTTCCACCGCAAGAATATCCAAGGACCCCAGTGACCCCACGACATGGATTCTGGGTTTGCATTCCAAAAACGTGTCTTGGATAGTTCTGCAAAGCATCCTACGGAGCCTTGGCAACAGGTCCACAAATTTCTTACAATTCCCACAGCCTCATATGCAGTTCAGTAGGAATCGGTCGCAGGTGTTTGGAAATGACATTACAGTATTATTAAGAAAACCACTTAGGCTATCTCTGATGGTTTTTCCTTATAAAAAACAAAGCAACAAAAAAGCGAACAAAAAGCAACTACAAAAAGCAACAGCAAAAAAAGCGAATCTAAAAAGCAAACAAAAGCAAAAGCAAAAACACAAATCTAAACAGCAAAAGAAGAGCAAATTGAAAGCAACAAGCGAACACAAAGCGAAACAACAAAGCGAAAAAAGACACCGCACATGAAAAGGCAAAAAGCGAAAACAGCGAAACAACAAGCGCAAAAAGAAAGCAAATGAAAAGCAAAAAGAGCAAACAAGCGAACAAAAACGCGAAAAAAAAAAAAAACAAATGCAAAACTAAACAGCGAAAACAAAGCGAAAAAAGAAAACCGAAAAAAGAAGCGAAAAAATACAAAAACAGCAAAAACCAATCAAAAAACCGATAACCATGCGAAGAAACTCGCGGAGAAAATGCGGGCAACCAAAAAGCGAAGACAGCGCGAAAAAAACATGAACACATCGAACAAAAACAGCGAAAAAACAGTGAAAACACAGCAGGAAAAAAGCGAAAAACAAAGACGCAGAACATGGCTTTCGCTTTTTTGTGCTTTTGCTTTTTCATTTGCATTTTTTTGCTTTTTGTATTTGCTGTTTTTTGCTTTTTCATTTGCTTTTTGGATTTTCTTTTTTTGATTTTGCTTTTTCATTTGTTTTTTTTTTTTTTTGCTTTTTTTTTTTTTCTTTTTGTAGTTTTTTTTTTTTTTTTTTTTTTAACTTTGCTTTTTGTAGTTGCTTTTTTTTGCTTTGTTTTTGCATTTTTTGTTATTTTCAAGATTCACAGAGTTAGCCTGGGTCCGGCGATGTGAACTGTATTATATAACATGTGTATCTTGAGTTGTGTTCTGAATTGTATACTTGGCCACTTACTTGCGGCGGCAAGAATGGCATGGGTTCCGGAATCTGGAGGGTCCTGAAAGTCTCTTGTTGGTGAGCTATGACTATAACAGGATTTTGCACCTTCTATTATTATTACTATTATTGTTACTATTATTTTTATGCACAAAATGCATCGATGACACAGACGAACTGTGCCCAAAGATGAACCTGACACCTGAAACTCTGATGTACGGTCATTGAAAGACAGCTTTCCTCTGACTCTACAATCCAAAAATATCACCATTCTTTAGCACGCACGGGTGGTTGGCACATGTTGGCATGAGGAGGTGCCGCTGAGGATGAATTGATGGTGAGGTCGTACCGGCACGGCGGCAGCGCGTTGAGACCCCTGCTCGCCGCAGCTTCAGGTACCGAACCTCCATAGACCAGCGATGGATGACATCCACAGCACACTGTCTGACATGGCTTGGTTGAGAGGAAGCCGCCCACCCTTTCTTGAAACATGCAGACGCAAGGCTCTCTTTTCTTTGTGCCATTCTTTCTCCAGCACCCAGCCCAGCACCCCCCAAAAACATCGGGATCCCGCATCAAGCCAGCCCGGTGTCTTTTTTGGGAGACCCGTCTCATCTCGCGAGACGAACACCTTCGTCTGGGATGGACGAGGGTGACACCGTGACCTTTGCCTCCGGCGCTGCCTACGGCGCGCTGCTCGTCGGCCGCTACGGCTACGGCGCCGTGACCGGCGCGGACCGCAGCGACCGGGCGGGGTCCGCCTGCAGCGAAGAGGAGGCGTGGAGGGCGTGGATGGAAGACATGGACAACAAATTAACCCTTTCTTAAACAGACTGATGAACCGCAGAAGCGCCGCTTTTTGGGCCTTTCAAGTTAATATAGTCCGTTCTTTTTGCGAGGCCGAAAAGGGTATTCCCGTGGTGAAGAAGCTGCAACGTCAGTGTGATTGGCAAGCGATTGGAAACAATTACGCTCAATCAATCTATCCTTTTTGAAGTGCCACAGATGAAAGACGATGAAAGATGAACACAATCTTCTGCTCTGCCTTGAAAGGTGTTCGGCTGACGCGTTTCGCCCATCGATGTTCGGACACCTCCAGGGTGCGCGGGATCATCCGTGGGCGCCCTATGTGGCCAGGAAGAAGCGCGAAGCAAAACAACTCGGGAGGGACACCGAGAACGTCGAAAAAAACATGGCGGTGGTCAGTGGTCTAGTCGTCTACTACCCACTAAGAGGTGTTTGAGCAGAGAATGCCACGTATCTCCAACTCAAACACCTCAGAACCCTTTTCAGAACCTTTTGAAATCAGGCTGCGCCGGAACTCGCCCACCCACTGCCGGGTGAACCCGCGGGGGACCGGACTGTGTTTCTCGTCGTCGCGGCCATTCGGTGTTCCCTTCTTCCGAGGTGTCGCTGTCGAGGTATTGGGTGGTTTTGCTCGGCCTTGAAACGAAAGACCTAAGACCATCTAAGACCATCTAAGACCATCTAAGACCATCTAAGACCTAAGACTCAGTTGAAGTCAACTCCACTCCGTTGGGCACGCATTGGGACAATGTCGATGGTTTTGATGAGTATGTTGTAGCACATCTCATCTGAACACGTGACTCTCGATTTCGTTAGACGCTTTTCCATTTGACTCCTCTGGTTGAGATCATGGAACGCATGATCAGTGTGCTGGTGCGCTTCATGCCTGGTTTTTTCAACAAGTGATCACGTCGCGTCACTGGAGAACAACAAGACCAAGTCTCAGTTTGGTGATTTTCCATTTTCCTCTCACGGAAGCGAACCGAGTAAGAACAGTGTGAACTCCTGTTTGTTTTCTCTTCCGTTGCCTCCACGGGCGGGGAACGTTGCGGGACTTCGGACTCTAGTCACACGCGTCCTTTGGGGAGACTCAACTCCGCGCCACATGGAAATCTGAGGAAGTCTGTGAAGAGTGGGAGCCATTGATTTTGTGTTCTTCCTTGGAATCCTCAAGCTTCTAAGATTCCCACGGGAACTGGGCTTTCTTCTCTGAGTCCCGGACTCGTCCCGTGAGCGGATTGACTCGTTGGTCCTTTTTGGACGTGACTCGTCCGTACTGATTCAATGACGCCGTGACTCGCCATCCACGGTCGCGTCATGTCGCGCAGTTCGCGACATGTGCACATCCAAGGTTGCGGAGTTTGTTGGGACCTTCATCCTAGTCTTCACCTTCGGTGTCTTTGTGAAGACTGCACACGTGTGCACCGTGCTGCGCATGGTGTGTTAGGGTTGGTGGCTAATGGTGGCGGATGATTTTCATGAGTTGAAGAGGATCTGTGATGCGTTGTCTTGAACATTTATGACATGTCGTGATAATGTCACCTCTGTGAACATTCAAGTGATTCGTCGGACCTTTCTGATTCAAGATCCAGCCCTTTCTCTCAAGAGGACCGTCGATGCCGGGTCACACTTGGACACCGTTGGCGGGCCTACAGGGTAATGACTTTGCATTCCAAAGTCCAAAGTCTGCAATTCGGGCACTGACAGTATCAGCGTAGACTTGTTTCCAGCTAAGGAACTTCTGATTATATACAGTAGATTAAAGGTTCTAATCCAGCCAACGTGCGGCACAGTTCTGCAGTTTTGAGGAGGGCATTTGACTATCGGTGACTATCGGCTATCAATTGATTGCCGTTCATGTGGATCAGAGGTTTGCAGGCTCAAGACGTGCAGCCATTCGCATAGGTTTTGTGATGTTTTGTGATAATCACAGGGTGCTGGTGCTGGCCATGTCTTAAGTTGTTTTTTCCTCTTCCCCGCGCAGAATCAATGCCAAAATCTCACCATCCCCAACCGTCCAAAGCTTCAGAAAAAAACCTTGTTACGAAGGTAGCTTCTTGCTACTATATAGTGGTCATGCCCTCGTGAGCTTCACGCTCGTCGCACCATGCCCCCGTGACCCGGCGTTACGCGTCCAACGTTCCGGGAACGTCACGTCGGAACCTCGTCCTCGCCCTGAGGCTGTGTGGCGCTTTCCACCGTGCACGTGCCATGGAAGCCCACCGCATGGGCGTGCACCGTGACGGTGCGGAGTCGGTCCGGTCGACGGTCGCGGGTTGCGGAGGGGAACCCGCGGTCGGGGAATGGGGGAAAGTGAAGGAGTCGTTCTCTGAAGAAGTGGCTGGAGATTCTGGAGATTCTGAGATTCTTTAGTTTTCTTCAAGTTTTCATGTCAGGAGCTATTTTTTTTTCAAAGTTTGACACTACCGTTTTTTGGGGAGCTTACTTTTTGGAGGAGGTGTGCATGAGTTGTTTTTTGGGTGTCCGCCAAAGCAAGGTAAGCTGGATGTCCGGACGCGGTGCTTTCTGATAGCACACAGGAACCCGAGGGCACCCATCAATCCAATGGAATGTGGGCAGTTCTATGAAGCAATTCAATCCTTTTCGTACACTCCCTGGAAATGGAAGTGGATGGCATGGCCCTGGGGCCCTGGGGATCACCAGTTTCTTAAAAAAGAAACCGGTGGTTTTCCCGTAGTAGCCGATAGCCTTTTTACATGCCCTATTTGTAGTTCACACAGAAAGCAAAGGCACGTGTTGCCCTCTTCCAGAAGGAAGACCCAAAGGCACGTTTCTTCCTCATCGCACTCATCGCACGTTTCTAGGCGTTCCATGACGCTTCCTGCTCACCTCCCCTCAACAAGATCATATGAGAAGGAACATCCGAGTCTCACTTCATGGGTCGGAAATGGTCCATGCTTCAAACATCGGGTGGGCGATTCCCATGAACACATGCCCGGTGGTCGATTCCCAAGAGTGACCATCCACTTGTTGGACAGACCGGGTTACATCGTGACCTGGCTTTGTCGGTGTGTCCTTCAACAGGAAGACCGGGAGACCCCCGTAGACCGGTCGATTGCCTGTGTAGACCGAACCTAGAGGTGCCTGAGCGGGGTAGACTGCTCGAAAGCACCATACTGACCGAGCACATCCGAGAACCATCTTGGCTGTTTGCAGGTGATGATCTATAGCACTGCCCCAGTTTCAGGGGGCTTCTTGAACCCGGCTGTGCCGCTTGGCCTTTCAAGGAGCGAAAGTACACTGAGTGCCCAGAGCTTGCGATTTCCTCGCTATTATTGGGTGAAAAATGACATTTCTGGGTGGGCACTTTTCATTGAAGCTGGGTAGACTGCTGTTGAGAATTGGGATCTCGTCAAGAGCCTGTCTTACCAGGGCAAGATGGTGATGGTCTGCCAGCCTGAGAGTACTCCTCCTTGCACCCTCAGAAACATGCCTGTCCCATATCTTTTTTGTTGATGGACTGAACCACGAGGTCCGCTCCCACCACCTCAAGGTAGACTTTGTTGCCCAAAATCCATGCCTCACCTGTGAAGCAACTCGAATCTCTCCAGAAAAAGCAGACTTCCCACTGCGGTCTTACCGCGCGCGCGCGCGCGCTTGCCGGATCTCTCGGCGCCGAACGGCGAGTCCTCTTCCACTGGAGGTCGATGGCTCTGAGCTTGTTGGGCGCATCTCGAAGCAACGGAGCGTCCGGGCCGCCGTCGGTGTCGTAATGATATTTGGGTATACTTTAATTATGTTGGACATCCGGAAAAGCAACAGTTAATCTTAGATTTGAGAATCCAAGGTGAGCAGATGTTAAGCTGGGTCCAAATCTTTCAAGTCGCTTATATAGCATTCTCAACGCTCATCCAGCTGTTCCAGGCTGCCCTCAATATTCCCCGTCCGGCATCCTGCAGGATGTGAGACATCAGGCTTAGCCCCAAGGCCACAGCTTAGCCTCAAGGTGATCGTTGGGTGATCCCCTGTGACCCTCACAGCTTGGCATTGCTTCCCTTGGTAACCTAAAGCAACAGCAGCAGCAGCAATGACGCAAAACCCTTCACCCGGAATCGAAGACCATGTGCGGCACCCCCAAAAGAAGAAACACAAACCGACACCAAGAATCGAAGCACTTCAAGCCACTTGGAGCCACTCAGGTCATTCCGGGTCATCGTTGCCTGGGCTTTTGCCTCACGCAATTCATCGCGGCCCTTTGCGCTTCAGCCTTGCTGAAGGGCTTGTGCGGCGTGGGGGGCTCGGCCTTCCGCAGCGCCATGGAGGTGGATGATCCACCTTTACCTGGGAGCTTGCTGATGTTCTTGGAGTTGTGACTTGGAAAACACGAGTGGACTGGATGGTGACTCAAGAACACCACGGTGGACTTGAATGGTTTGGACGGTTTATGTGTTAAGGACTGTTGTGAAGGACTGCTTAGAAGTTTTCAAGATGTTTCAAGAATCGTTACTGTAGTTTTTCTCCACTTGCGAAGGACCAATTTTCGTTTACTGTAACGTTTAACACTGTTTAAAGCTTTAAAGTTTACTTTATTTTACTTTTATTGACGACCTGAAAAGTGTGCGGTGTTTGGGTGTGTGGTGTATGTTTGTGGGTCAGCTCTCCTTTCGGTTTAGTGTTCTTTTTTTCGGGGGTTCTTGGGGCAACTGCAGTGGTGTTTCTGAAAGCCAAGAATCTGAAAAAGCACCAGCAGAATCCCATGATACGTAGACTCTTTCGATCTGTTTCCCCCCCCATTCATTTGCTCCATGGCTTTCAGGTTATACACTGCGGTGCTTTGTTTTGCTGCAAGCTGCTGCCTCGTTCTCAAGCGCAACAACCCCAAGGCAGGCTGCATGGGCCTGAAAGCGAGTCTCTCACGAAAACAATGGCTGAGTCGGCTGGGTGAGAAGGTGAGAACCCCAAAGCGTAGCAGATTGGCATCTCCTTGCATCTCCACTCGTCTTTGCTCGAGCGTGAAATGAAGCGAGGTTGACCTGTACCTGAGTTGGTTATGCCAGGGGTTTTCTTGACAGTTGGTCATGTCGGTTGCACCCGATGCCTTGGCAAGTAGGACACCATAACTTGCGGACAGTATGAATCCCCGCAACATCATCTCATGTCTGCGTACCAAATATGGATGTGGGTTCTTTTTTTGGAAGCAATAGGAGCAAAGACCCTACTAGGGGCTCCTGGCATCGTTACGAACGGAGCGTTCGGACACTACTAGGGGCTCCACTCTGCGCCCCTTTTGATGCGAACTACTCGGGCCCTCTGCGGGACACTCCTAACCTCCAAGGGGTGGGATTTGGGAGTTTAAAGGTTGCAGCCTCGAGTTTTTGGTCGGTCTGGTAAAGACGTGGTGTTGGTCTGGTTGTCCTGACATATCAAAAACATACAATGTCTAAACATGGGGTTCTGTAACAAGGGCACTGGTGTTACTCCTTGCAACTGCAAGCTTGGTAAACCCTCCTAGACCGATTGTCCTCAGGTTATGTCCGGGGCAAATTACTTGTGGTCTACTTGGTGTAGATCATACTCAGTTACCAGGGGCCCACCGAGCTGCGCAAGCGCTCGCAACCACAGAATTTGCCAAGTCTGCCGAGTTGGTGTTTTCGAAAACTCTTCCCCCCTAAGAAAGGGCGCCCGTGATCGCTGAGAAAGACCATGAATGACCCATTAAATTATCAGCAATAGATTTGCTGCATCACCAGACTGGTGGGCAGCGGAGCCACTATACATATAATATATATATAGAATATATATTTGGATTCTGCAGGCGCAGGGGACGGCAACATGACATGGACAAGTCTCGAAGTCCACCCTTCAATCTAGTATGGTATGTATAATTGCATAATACACAATATATACATACACATAATCTATAAGTACTTGAGTACTCTTAGAGGTCACATGAGTCTTAGAGTCTGGAAGCACACTGCCCCTTCCACCAAAAAGCCAGGAGAAGAGTCAATCCTTTGGTTTGGCCATCGGTCTACTCTATGTCGCAGGCGACCGACCGTCGACCTCCGGCGGGGACACATTTTCCATCAGAAACCCCGTCAGCCAGGTAGTGATGACGTAGCCTCCGTCCAATCCTGGAAGTGACCGCCCGAATACCCCCTGGAAAGAGCATTTTCCGAATACCAGGCAGGGGGAGTGTCCACGAAACCATGATTGGAGGGAGGGAATCATCTGAAAAAGAAAGATGTTGGTTCATTTGAAGCACAGGGAGACCTCCACACTGCACTGAATTCAGCATTGAACTCGGGGGCGCTGTGGGCACTTGATCACTGGATGACACCCTCACCAACATCATCTTTTGCTGTAAAGTACTATCACTTTTTCACAAGCTGGATCACGGCCCCGGACTGCTTGAACCTTCAGGACGGGTTAGCGGATCAGTGGCATAAGTGGCAGGGGCCGCAGAACAGGCTTCGCCCCTGGCGACCTCCTGACCTCCTGACCTTTTATTTGGGGTGTGAATGATTGGTTCTTGGCCTTACTTCATTGGAGGAGATCACCAGCTGACCACCAAGTGAGCTTTTTGGAGGAGTTGACCACCAGGGGTATGACCAGATGACCAGCGAACATCACGCCGCAGCCTGGGCTCAGTGCTCAGCTTTTCTGCTTTAGCTCATGACCCGACAATCATGTGACCCGGTGAAAAAGACACATGTTACAGTATTATTCAACTGTTATATTTGGATCAACCCGTCAGGGAGTGGCAAGTAAAAAGGAGGAGAAAGGAGGTATTTGTATCCTTCTGTATCCATCCTAAGGTCTACACCAAAGCAACATCGCCAAGACTACCTGGCCTAGCTCTTGTGAACAGCAAGGCGATACCATAAAGCTCCTGCATTTGAACTGGCTGTGAATATGCGCCAGGATCGCACCCTACAAGCTCAAGTTGAGTTGCACTTTGAGTGAAGTTGTAGAGGTCCGATGAATACAAAGGCCACCCTGACTCTTCAAATGTCCTCAACTCAACATTTGTGACCTGCTCTTCACGGTCCCAGACCTCTTCAATCTCTATCATACCCTGCTGGTCAAGCTAATGTTGCATTTTTTTGTACCCTCACCCTCAGCAAGAACATCATCAGCTCAGGTTCCAGGAGATGTACCTCAAAGCCGATAGAACCACGTCTTCCACTGCAAGCAAGGTCACACCACAGACACCACACCATTGCCCCACTCCCTTTCGTGGCCCGCCCCGACGCCCTGTGGGTCTCGCATGATGAGCTTCGAAGTGGCAGATGTCGTTTGCATCCCTGAGACTCGCACGGACGTGAGGGGCGCGAGCCTGGCGAGTGTAGACAGTCGTGGACTTCCAAACCTGGCGTTGGTGAATAGCCGCTGGGCCACTGGCATGTGACTGGTCGTGAAAGGATTTCCAAAGAACTGATAGCTAGCAGGTTGGAGGCCATCGCTATTAGCAACTCAAAAGAAGATTGTTTTTTTGGAACCATGACATGGTGTAAGGAAACCATGACGGAGCACATTGGA